GAAAGCTTTTGAGTTTTTGCGAATTCAAACTTGTTTCTTATTTAGCATCATTTATGCAACATAACCAAGTTGAATTTGTTTCAAAAATCAGCTTTTTGGAATTTTCGGTAATTTTACGTGATAAAACGTGTTCAAAAAGCCGCGGTTTTTCTCAAATAAGTAATTATTACAGACATTATAAACGTGGCCCACGTAATCTAAAATAGATGCAAAGTAGCCAAAGGTTTGCCCTACATAACAGTCACCAGCGTTCATCGAAAATATCAAGATGAAAAATCTGAAAATTCAGAAAAGTTTTGGCGCTACTGCTGAGGTGCTCAAAAAGCCATGGCGATAACATCGTAAAGACGGGGTAGATCAGGGAACAATTATAGCTATAAGAAAGAGGATACAAAAATAAATAGAATGACACCTAGGCCGTCCATAGATTGGTGTTCTTTGAGGTTTGGTGAGCGATGAAATAAACCGACAAAACTTTCGGGACAACCTAATAGGATTTTCCGGATTAGTGCGGTTTGTACCTACTTGTGCAGGAATTATGCACCAACCTATAATATATGCTATTTTCTGGTAAAAGATACATGTTTAGTGGCTCGCATGTGTAATGTATTAGGCTGCTGCATAAGTTCAGCCCAATTTTGATATTGAATTTAAACTAACATTGTAATGTATTAGGCTGCTGCATAATCTGTCCAGTTTTGATATCGAACTCGAATTATCATAACTTTTTTCAAAATCAACCTTTTTCATAACCTTAATTCCTGTGTATTAAGCACTTCTTTGGCTATCAGAAAAATAGTACGACAGCAAAAAACCCTGTTAAAAAAGAAGCGAGAATTCAAAAACCTAACAGCGTTCTTCTTCACACCTATTTTCTTTGACTTGGCAATGCTCCCTTATGAAAAGTGACAGGCATATAAATAATGATTAGACAGAGAAAATTTCAAAGGTTATTCTACAGCTTAAAAGTGCTCGGGTCTTTCGTGCCAAAAGATATTTTTGAACAAGTAATAATGAAGCACTTTTAATCTCGTTTAGCGCATGTATGCCTACTTTCAAATAATAGAGATTTTATACTTGCCGCAAGGTAAAAAGTACTGTTGACTGGGCTCTGGTAGCTCTTTCCTAGGGGTGAGGGAACTTAGGAACCCGAGCCTAATTAGCTCGATTCGGGGAGTGCCTGCAGGATACAGTCATGCTCGCTATCCCCGATGGCTCCTTAGGATATGGCGACAAGCTAAGCCCCGCCCCTGATAGCCTGTTTTGGAACCTGGCCGAGGAATACTGAAAATCCCAGTTGGACTTCACTGAGACTGGATCTTAGACAAAAACCTTCAAAATGATCGTACAAAGGTAAAATTAGGTTCAAACGAAAGAGAAAAACTGTGCCGTCATTATCACGTAGCTACTGATTGAAACTAATGGAACACAACATTCTTTTTTGCTCAATAGTTTAGTTAAATGTCAAATTCAGACAAAACACTGAGATTCATTCAAGAAACTCTGAAGCTTTCCAAAATAATTTATTTCAGTGCAAATCGGGCAAAAGATTAGGAAATTGTTTGAGAAGTGACACTTTAAACTTCTCAAAAAATAGTTATTCAAGTGCTGAAATTGGGACAAAAAACTAGAGAATCAATCAAGAAAAGACAGTTCAAAAACTTCTCAAAATAGGATTCATTTATGTGATGAAATTCGGATAAAAGACATTCAAGAAATGAATTCAGTAATCATAACTGTTAGAGTTGCCTGAAAAGAAAGATATAAAAAGAAAAATCGGCATTATCGATAGTAACGATAAGTAAATTTTATACTTACGCTTCATTTGTAAGAAATCTCGCTCAGACTGTTTTTCCAACCTTTTTTGCCGTAGGTTGAGGCCATTACTTACAGCATCTTTGGCGGATGTTCTTCGCACATCAGAATCGTCTACCGCTAACAGACTGTCTTTGATCAGCAATATCAATATTGAAGCTTTTGAACCGTCCTTGAATGATTTTCTAGTTTTTCACGCAAATTTCAATTTCGCACTGTCATCTTGAACGGTTTTCTGGCTCCAAATTTTAGCACTTTTTCGTTTCTTGAATGGTTTTCTACTCTTTCGCCCGAATTTCACCACTGAAATAGACTATTTCTTAAGAAGCATTTGAGCTGCCATCTCTCAAATGATGCCCTGGTCTTTTGCCCTTCCAAATTGAAATTAGCACTCCAATAAGCTGTTTTTGAAAAGGCTGACAATTAAGTAGTTTCCCAGTGTTCTGTGTGTTGACACTTAAATGAACTTTTGAACAAAAAGAATGTTGGGTTTCATCATTTTAATCAGTAAATACTGATGACAGCACAGTTTTTCTTTTTCGTTTGAACCTAATTTCACCTTTGTACGATCATTTTGAAGGTTTTTGGCTAAGAGCCAGCTTCATCTGAAGTTCAATTGTGATTCTCCTCATACCTTGGTCAGGTTCCAAAACAGGCTCTCAGGGGGCGGAGCTTAGATTGTCGCCTTGTCCTAGGGAGCAATCGGAGATAGTGAGCATGACTGTGTCCTGCAGGCACTCCCCGAATCGAGCTAATTGGGTTCGGGATCCTAAGTTCCGTTCCCACTTTCCTAGTCACGAAAACTTATTGCTTGTAGAATTTTTGTACAAAACATCTCAGTTTTGAGAAAACAGACAGATGGACATGGAAACATTTTGAGAGGTAGAAAAAAAAGCAGAGGCCCTAGAAAAATTCTTTGCCATTTTTTTACAGACAATGAGTGTGACACCACAGCACCTAGTGACGCTGTCGTCCGAATAACTGACTGCTGCACGAAAATGCTTTCTTATCATGGTTAATTTTACGATACCTTGAGAAAACTCGAGTCGTTAGCTACAGAACATACGATGATCGGCCGCAAATTTTATATTGCAAATGCGCTCGTACCCTAGTTTTTTCCATTTCCCACCAATTTAACATCCTTGTCACTAGTGAAAGTTCCTGAAGCCTGGAAGGAAGCTTTGGCAATGTTCATTTCCAAAAATGAGAGATAATAGAGATATAAATCGACAGTAGCAGCCTTATTCCCAATTTTCGTCTCATCAGCATAATCGCACTTTCGGGCAAAATCTCAAAGAGGTTTGTAAAGAAACGCCTACTTGACTGGCTCGATACAAAAGGAATCTCTCAAGTCCAAAATAGCTTCCTTTTTGGAGGTTCTACTACAACTCTGCTTTCCGAATCTTTGTTTGTTGGATTAGGCATGAAAATGGTAAATCAGTTGACATCGTATTTATTGATTTTTCCAAAGCGTTCGACAGAGTTGATTCACTGTGGCCTGCCTCAGAAACCCGAACAGTACGGTATTCGCTCTCAGCTCCTATCCTGACTTTCACCTTTTTTCGCGAAAGAGGCACGACAACTGGCACACTTTCTTTCTTTTCACTTCTTACTTAAACTGCTGAGTTACCTTGTTTCTTGAAAACTGAAAAAAAAATCCACACCTAAAAATACTAGTTTTTGCAGACCACAAAACGATTTATTTTTGCTACGAAGATAGAGAACAATTTGAAGTTTACAATGCAATTTTTTCCGCGACCGAAACTATGAAATTATGGTTTAGAAAATGGGATTTCTCAGTAAACCCTTCTAAAACGAAAGTTCTACACCTTGAAATCTCTACAAGCTGCACCTATGAGCACGATGGAATCATCTTGAAGCACAGTAGGAGAACAAAGATCTGGGTGTTCTTCGAGACAACCACCTTAAACTTACTAACATACTAACCTCATGATTAACAAAGAAAGTTTGCTTAATCGAAGCGGCGATTTGAAACGTGATGTACACTAATGGATAGTGCTTGCAACGCTGATCTCAGATTCTTCTAAAACTGCGCGGCATTATTCTAAACAAAATTATGAGCTGTTATGATGTCAAATTTTCGTGCATTTTCAGACGCAAAATCATGACAATTTTCATACAAAAGTATGCAGGATCAAGCAGATACACTAGTATGCATGTAAGTACAGTCGAGTAAATTTTCCAATAGTATGCTTGGACTGAAGGTGAAATGCGGTAAAGTTTACTCGTAAACAAGTAACCACGCCAGTAATGCCACCCCTTTGCGTGCGCATTTCGCCGGCGTCACGGGCGCAGCATTTGTTCACGCGCAAATTTTACCGCATTTCATCTTCAGTGCAAGAACACTATATTGAGCGGAAAATCTACTCAATTGTAGGTCTTATTTAATTTCATGCGAACGTTTTCAAGTGTTTCCGACTATATTATTAGGTTGGCCCGAAAGTTCAGTCGCACCATTTTCAAAAATTCATGACTTCTGCTTTTTCCAACCGATTTGACTACTTCTGTTTTTGTATGAAAGAGTAAGTCATCCTTATGGTGACATCGTAGCTGCTTACTAATGTTCATCTGTTGCACAGATAGGAGCGTTAGAAGAAAATTAGTCAAAATTGAATTTTCTGTGTAAGGTTATAAAAAATCGGAAACTTGCAGCAAAAACTGCTTGCTTTTCTAAGTCAAAATCACTAGGCACTGTGCTATCAAAAGGTGCACGCTCGGCCCCGGTCTATAAAGTTCGCCGAGTTACGAACCCACGAAAACACGTCCTCATGAATTTCGCTCAAAGTGTAAAAATCGCCTATTTCGTCGAAATTCCATCCTGAGTGGTTGTATGACATACTGATCAAATCTGTTCACATTGGTTAATGGTCTTACTGTGCTGGATTTGGAAATTAGGTAGATCCGAGCCCAAGCTACGAAGCTGCTTCGATGTTCAATTGAGCAGCTGAAGAACGCGGGACCACCATATTCAATTCAATGGGTTCCCTTAGGCGAAGAGAACAAGTGCAACCAGAAGGTCATACAACCACTCAGGGTGGAATTTCGACGAAATAGGCGAACATATTGTATACCAGAAGATTCGTCTCATCAAACTGAAGCCAAATCTTCCCGCAGATTACAAATAAAACTGTTTTGAAAGAAGTTATAGCTAAATCCCGTTTATCCCGACAATTCCGCGAATCCCGACAATCCCGCAGTTTTGGACAAATTCTACCGCTGCAACTGTATATACTGGGATGTATGGGATGGATGTACATATGTACTGGGATCGCGGGAGGTATGCCTTAGGCCTATGTCACCTTTCATCTTCTACAGAAAACGTAAATTGTCATTTCTGCCTTACCAATCCCATTCTTGCAAAAACCAAAAGTTCTCTGTTCTAACAGATTCGCCGATTGAGCGCGCGATTTCAAACCTGCCCCGAATTAAACAAAAGGGTTTTTTACAGCGAAGAGAAAAGGAAACGACTCCAAGTTGGTTGTACATAGATGGACAGACTATGTATGAAAAATTATGAAAAAACTATGTGAATTGAAGGTGTGGCAAACTTTTTTTCGAAGTTAGGTGGCTTTCCAGCTACCTGAACAGCCACCTGATGTGGCTGTAAAAAGAAAAGTCATAAATTCCCCTACCTTCACGTAATTTTTCCATATGTTTAGCATAACATTCTTGTACATCAAAACCCTGCATCGGAGTTTTTGAATCTCCCTTAACTCTCTCTTCCCCGTCCCGTTACAGCCCTACATATTTTGTATGGCGGAGGCAAGTCTGCTCTAAGCGCATAAGGGTGCGCGTCGGACACAGCATGCCGACAATTTGGAGAATACAAACATCTTCAGTTCGTTTTGTCTGTTCAATATCGCTTTTATATTTCGTTCCATTAATTTTCGCTATTCATTTTGATCCATTCATGATTGTGTCACAGGTGATGTCGTATCGTGGCAAAGTCTAAGTAGACTTCGTTTTTGAAAATCAAAAAAGCCACCTCATGCCGAGCCCTGCTTGTTAGGCAATTCAAATTGGAAAAGTCTCCCAAGCTTGCCAAATAATTACCAACTTTTCAGACTTCGTAAACTGTACCAACTCCCCATGCGCTTACACATCCCAAATTGGTGCCATCGCTGCGTGTTTCTGATTTGGTATGATGGAGAGATAGATTTTTATAAATATAAATATGTAATATATAAATATGACATAGGCATAAGATCAAGAGATAGGTGAAAATGGAGGAGGAGAAGGGAAAGGGAAGGGGGGTGGGATTGAACTATCGTAAAATTGGCCAGTCCTTGAAGTCTTTTATGCCACTGATTCAAACTCTTCAATCTTTGCTTTCTAACCTCACAGCGCCAACCAGCCGCCCGTATGCCATTTGCAGTGCCCCAGCTTTTGATCATTTCAATGAAAAAGCAAGTGTGCAAAAGCACTACGATCGTTCTATCTCTTAATAAGCATGTTTGAAATTTTAACTGCAATGTAAAATGCTCAGAATGCCCACTGCGAATAAGTGAATGAAAATTTTTATTCCTAAAACACTATAAAGTTCCAAAATATGCAGCCTACTCATGCAAAAATAATGCAACGGATTCTGAAGCGAAAATTTGCATAAACAATTTGCATACACGAAAGTAATGTACTTGAAATGTCCTCCACTATTGTGCAGACATGTGTAAGACTATTACTGTGTTCAGATACACACCTGTTTGGTTAAAGTTACTGACGCAACAGTATGGCTAATCTTTTGATTTCAGATTTTACAAGTTTGGATGCATAGGTTCTGTTATTGCTCATGAGTTCATGCACGCATTTGGAAGACATGGTAAGTCATTTTTTCTTGATTCAAAGGGCTATTCAAATAAATAAGCCAAGTTTATCTGCTCATAAATCTTTCTGTTCAACGAAACAACACTGCTGTGTTTGCACAACATTATTTCTTCGTCCTCCCGTTAAAGGCAGCGGCTCGGCTTGGAGTTTTTTTGCTTACCTGGGGTAATTTGAGGCGCTGTTCCGAAGATCCACCTTGAAGAGCACGAAAATGGCAAAAACTACCATTTCCCAAGGCCTTCCTTTTTGAATTTGGACGTGTGGAGCATGCCCCGCCATTGTTAGAGAAGCAGAATCATTGCGGGACCCTCGCAGTATAACATTGCGGCATGCCTTCTCTGACGGGTCAGGGAGAATCGCAAGCTTATCCACGCGTAATAAAATGGCTTGTGCGTAACGGGTTTTCATTTAAACCCGCGGTGCAGGCGAAGCTGAGCACGCCAGCTAGTATCAGTACTGTGTATACAGGGTGTCCCAAAGGTATGTATACACTGTTTGATCGTTAATATCTCTCTTCCCAAGAAGTCTTTCGCTTTGCTTCAGGTACCATTTTGTAGGACTGGCTTCAACTTAGATTTTCATTATAGAACGAATCACCCATCTCTTCATTACTGTAGGATTACGATAGAAACTTCAAAGAGGGTTTTGAGCCATGAAAGGCCATATTTTGCCTCAGAAAAGAAACAAAACAGCCTGAAAACTTTTACACTAAGTTAAATGTAGTTGCTAATTCTAAGTGTAAAGTTCCCAACTTATTATGATGCTTTATTGAAGAGTTATGCGATAAGAGGTAGCGGCCATTTTTTCAATGTTCCTAAAAAGTGCGGTTGCACCGTTTAGAAAGCTTCGCAATCTTGTGAATAGTTGAGTATTGAACTCAGCGTCCATAAAAACCCTGTTGCGCAAGTTTTCATATTTTTTTGAAAATTTTTGAAATGGCAGCTTTTTCCACATTGACACCATATGTTTCAAGTTCCTATCGTAATCCTACAGTAATGAAGGGCGGTCGGTAATTCTCTCTATACTGTAACTCTAAGTTAAAGCCAGCTCTACAAGATGGTACCTGAAGCGAGGCAAAAAACTCATTGGGAAGAGAGATATTAACGATCAAACAGTGCATACATAGTTTTGAGACACCCTGTATTTGGCTTAGTCACTTTTTGTATGTTCACTTAAAAAAGATAGAAGAAGTAATAGGATCTGAACCAGATTTGACAGACATAATGTATGAGATGAAACGTGTGTTAACAAGCCATTTTCTTCGAGGTCCACCGTTTAACTCTATCGATTTATTGATTTCATGCAGTTTTTCTCTGAAAATTTTGTATGTTCGCTCAAAAAGGATAGAAGGAGTAATGGGATTTAAACCATTGGCAGACATAATGTATGAGCTGGGGCGTGTGTTAATAAGCCATTTTGTTCGAGACCCCCGTTTGACTCTGTCGATTTATTAATTTTTTGCAGTTTTTGCTCGAAAAATTTTGTACTTTCGCCCCCAAATTTGGCAGACATAATGCATGAATTGGGGTGTGTGTTAACGAGCCTTTTTGTTTGGGCACACAAAATGCCTCTGCTGATTTATAGATTTTTCGGCAGTTTTTGCTTAGAAAATTTTGTATGTTCGCCCAAAAAGTATAGAAGGAGTTGTGAAATTTGAACTAAATTTGTTCGACATATGATAAGCAATTTTGATCAGGACTTACCGTTCCATTCTATCGATTTATAGATTTTTCGGCAGTTTTAGCTTAGAAAATTTTGTATGTTCGCTCAAAAGAGATAGAAAAAGCCAAGAAATCTGAACCAAATTTGGCAGACCTAATGAATGGAGTGGGTGTGTGTCAATAAGCCATTTTATTTGGGATTGAATGTTTGGCTTTAACGATTTATTGATTTTTTTGCAGTTTTTGCTTAGAAAATTTTGTATGTTTGCCCAAAAAGGATAGAAAGAGTTAAGAAAGAGAGATTGAGATTGAGATTGTTATTAGATTATAGATTAGACTGGATTCGATTGTTGAGATTCGGTTTCAAAGGAAAATGTCTTACTAGCAACTTTAGTCCAGTATCACCAGAAAGATAAACGAGAGAGGCATAGCACATTTCATATGCAATTGAATGATGCGAGGCGTGTGTTTATAAGTTATTTTGTTCAAAACATACCAATTGCTTGTATAAGTTCATCAATTTTTTGCAGTTTTGCTAAGTTTTCTGCCGACCCTGTTTGAAAAAATTATGAGGTCTGAACCGAACTTCGCGAACGTGAACTTCGTGGCGGACAGATGTCATTAAGCTTATTTAAAAATAATCTATTGTCATTTTTGTTTCATTGGCTTCTGGCGTTTTTTTCTTAGCCATTTGTTGTGGCTGACTCAGAAATACAAGAAAAAATTATGAGATCTGAATCAGAATTTGCATGCATAAACTTCTGAACGGGTCTTTTGTCAGTAAGCCATTTCCACTAATATAAGCTCAATCAATTTACTAATTTTCCTTACTTTACACTCTTGGAACTTAAAATTGGCGGTAAGGAAAGGATAGGTAGGCAAGTTATTAGGAATACAATATCTATTGCTTCAATTATTAACTTTCTCAACCTATTCATTATTTTTTTCATCTGACATTCTCGACAACTGATTAATATATGACTAAGCATCAATCCCTTTCTCAGCGAAATTCATCGACCAGCTAAGTTTATCAAAAGCAGAAATTTTACACACCCACAGGATCAAGCATCATCATCAACCATATCAATCCAATGACAGTCAACGCCCTTACATCTCCCCCACCCCCATCTTTTCTTCATACCACGACGCCTTTCTCACGTCTTACTTTCTTTGAATGCTTCCACTTCCAACACCGTGATACCGTCATTTACCTTATATGGGAAATGGGACACATGTAAGATGAATGAAAATGAAAAAGTGAACATGTCTGTAACATGGACACACACACACCTTACGCATGTCATGGGACAGATCCAGCCCTTCTGCGTTATTGACTGTGCATTGTCTGTTGCTTGGATTACTAACACAAACATGAAAATTTGACAGGCCAAAATGCGTCCTCGATTGTTTCGTGCAAACTAACAATTCACTAGCAAATTCTCACATTGGCGCAATACAGAGTGGAACGAAAATAAAGGAAAGCGAAGCTGCGGAATACCAGCCGAACCTGCCGCTTAGCGGCCGAGAGCGGAGGGTTCTTTATATTTGAGAGGTGATGTTCAATATCTTGAAGGGCGGTATTCAATATCCAAAAGATTTCAGTTTTCTTTTGCAACAGCGAGAAGACTACACCTTTAGGAATACCACAGACCACGACAAATCACTGCCGTTATCTACTTACAGCTTCAACTAATTTGGAAAAAATAGGAACTTACTAATGGACTTCAAACAAGGAGCAGCTTTCGGAGCATATGTGCGATTATGATGTAAATTCGAATTAGCAATTTCATGGCGTTATTGTCCATTAAGAGGGTAGCTTAAGGGGCAAATGGAAAGGAGGTTTTTTCCAACCCTGAGGAAAAAACCTTTGTTTTTAGCTTTTGTGAAGAAATAGCCTATGTAACAAGAAATGAAGTATGGCCAATTAGGACGACCACACGTGATCGAAAATTCATGCTGTTCATCTTTTTTAAAAAATCTTTTGTTGCGTCCCCTCCCGTTCAAGCAGTTCTCTACACGAGTCCGTTTCTAGGCTTCTTAAAAACGAAAACTCCGCTGACTTTCAAAAATTGAGTTTCCCTTGACCCTTGCTGTACCCCCCCCGAAAGTTTTGAATGAGCTCAAAAAATTTAAGACAAGCAAAATTTTGAATGGAATTTCAGAATGAGAAGAAGACTTGACTATAGCTACAAAAGATAGCAAATGAAAACTAATGGGAATCAGTTGTTAGATATGTAGACGGAAGAATGAAAATCATCAAATTATTAAAATCAAAGCTCAAACTGAAAGTGGAAATACAAAGGGAGAAGATGCGTAGGAGTTGATGTTGGGGCGCGTTATCTAGCAGGTGAATTTCGCAAATAAGAGGGCAAAAAACGGTATACATTGGGCTATACGAAAATGGTTTCATGCTCAGGGGTAGATTCTTGGCTGGAGCATCCGTTCATTGAGGAAAAATTCAAAACTTGTGCGAAACTTCCAAAAAATGCTCCGTACGATCTCAGATCGTACGATGACCGTCTGGAAACAGAATAATTTTGCACAAAGTCATAGTCTTAGGTCACATAAGTTTTCAAAATTTTCTGCATAATTCTCCTTAAAATAATGTTGTATTTATACAGTGCAAATTTGGTGTCAAAAGTTTGCGTCTACGCTCTAAAGAAGCAATTTGTTTACTTCAGCCTTGCTTTCAAATCGCGCGCGCGTTTCGCAAACCCGACAGAGCAGTCATTTGTATGATAACCCGTTTTTGAAGCTTTTCGACTAAATGGCACTTATCCTTGATGCTCGGCAATGCATCCCCGCAAAAACGACATCCCCTTTGCTTTTTCGCGTTAAGAACGAAGTCCAACCTGTTTCTATACAATCTGTACTCTTGTTCCAGCCTTTCGTCCACCAGAAAAGTCTCTTAAAACTTCAATGCTATCAGCCTAATCTATATGTAAATAAAACTCAATCTCTGTAAAATTGTTCGTATGTAAGTATGTGGCTTATAGACTCCTTTGTTTGTGAACCGATGAGGATGAAATTTGCTCCCTCATAAATAAGGCCAGGCGCAGAAGATAGGCTACTTTTTGCGACGATTTTCTGGGTCCTTCGTCCTTCTATCGATTTATTGATTTGTTTACTCACATGTAAGGAAACAAACTTATCAATCATTCCTGAATCATAGTTGGGTAAGCGGGGCGGTAAAGATCATTTACACTTTGCGGCGAGGAGGATCCGGTTCTTTGAGTCAGCGGGATATGTCGCGGATGCGCTTCTTCAGATATGGATAAGGAAGGTGAGTTTTGACGCTTTTAGATTCTAATGCCTTCCACCGGGCATTAGAGCC